AAAAAGACAAACAAAAAATTCACTTTAGTTTTCAAATTACAGGGAAATCCTCACAACAACACACTCGTTGATAGCTTATTGACATTTTTGACAGGCACGATACGTTTTTGTCGCTTAATCAATATCTGAAAAATAGGAATTTTAATAAATTAAAAGAGTTGAATTGACTTTCTCTTGAAGGCTTACAATGTCATACAAGCGTCCAAGCGTCGTGAGCGATGCTGAACTAGGATTGTCCCACTAACGCTTTGGTTCACTGAGTTTTTTCCTCTGAACGCTATATTCTTTCCAAAGTGCAGAAAATTCTCATTGTAAGAGCTTCTATTCAGTCCTGTTTTCTCCTGGCTTTTCCAAACAATTGAAAACTTCAGATTTCCATATTAATAATCGGACGATATAGTTGTATGTTGTTTTCCTATTCCATATAACGACATAATCTTGAATCCCCTGTCAAGCAAGTAATACAGGGTCAGCAGCTTGCCTTAACTGCTGAGGATGTTTACTGGCGCTCAAACTCCGTAATAAAAAATTGAAGAAGTGATCTTGATTCGAAATAATAATTCCGTCTATATTTGCAATTCTGCAGAGGAACCGACGGGGATTAATAAAAGAAATGGATCGCATAGGTTATCTCGCTATGCCTAATTTGGAATTGTAAGGCAAAATGTTCAGAAAAAATAACCATAAAAAAAGGGTTTCCTAACAAAAAATTATGAGAGAAATCTTCGTAGAATTTTTCTTATTAATCGGACTAAACTAGATAACGTTTAAATAGGCTAAAGGTACGATCATTAATAGCATAAAACTGTAATTGTTGATCAAATAAATATTACACGGGCTCTCATTGGAGAAAGCAAAAGTTTTTCAAATAAAAAAGACATCTATCTACGAAAATATCTTAGCCGGAGTTGCGTCTTTAAATGAAGCAAAGTCTGGTATTTAGGCGAAGCTAAGCTTTAGTAACGAAATCCTCAAAGTCTCAAAGAAAGTTTTTCATTAAAACAAAGGTTTCATTAACATAATGTTTTGCTCAAGGTAAGCCTTCACTCAAAGCGAGGCTTTAAATCTTTCCACATCGATTATCATCGATTATCTCCACCTACTCCTCTCTCTAAGCTAGATTCGATGTCGTGAAATTGTTATTGAGTGCAAAGGGTTAATCAACTACAATCGGTATCTGGTGATTTAAGAATTTGAACTATACTAAGATATTTACTACACCTTATGACTTTACGCGATTTTGTTTGTCGCTTTGAATTTAGACACCTACTAATCCAGACACCTAGGCACTTGCGCTATGAAAAATAATATTATTCGCACTCGATGCTGTACAAAGTACAATTTCGATCATTAATGTGCAGGAAAAGAAAATCCCAATGTTAAGAGCTGTCGCTTACTTTCTCTCTCTTCTCTTTAAGAGAAAAAATTGTGAAATTGTTCTCTTTTTTTTTTCTATCCCCATACTGCCTTTTGTGCGAATCTTGAATACTTACCGACTAAAGCATTTATATGGAAACGTCAAAAGTTTTGGAAAGTGTGGGCGTGTCAATTGACTTATTTGGGGAATTTTTGAAATAATTTTAGAGATGAGTCCAATATATAAACTGATGGTATGATTTGATTGAATCTCGCTCAAGTAATACTTTTTTGCAATATATTATAATAGATATTAATATGTAATTAATTTTTATAAATACCTGCACGCAATCAAATTATAATTGTCGTTGACAATCCGAAGAAAAAAGGAAAAATGATTTTTTTTTTACTATAATTACATGTTAATATAAATAAATTAAATTTAATAATTCTGTAGCAGATTACAAAAAAAATAATCGACACCTACAGTAATATAGTTAATTAAAAAAAATATGGATAACTAGTTATTAAGTCGATATCTACAAAGCATTTATTCATTTGTATTGGCAAAATAAATTTTTTTCCGCTTTTCAAATTTTTTGTTTTTTCTTTGGTTTTGTTTACATTATATAAATTAGTTAAAATGAAATAATTTAATTAAAATTCAATTCATTTTATTTTTACACACAGCAATTATTTGCAATTATACGCAATAAACTATTAGCAGAATTCCTAAACGTGTCTTCATTAAAAATTTTACAAAATTATTTTTAACAAAAATTCCAATAATAATCAAGTATATGGCGCGGTTAGCGCGGCCAATGGTTCCACGCAGCCATAATTTGTTCGTTTGGCGAATATTTTTGGTCAAACTGCTGATTATCAATTTTACGTCAATGAACACACGGCCTAACAAACGTTTAAACGGTAAAGGGTAAATAATTTAATGGTTTACATGAAAAGAGAAAAACATATTTTTTGCTTGAATATGCGTTACTTGAATAAATTTGTAAACGCGAACACCACATGCAAATGCATGAAAATCTATCATTTGCTACCTGCTCAAGTGTTATGTTCGCGATCCAATTATCGTGCTATCGGTTTGTATTGAATTATGGTGTCTGTCCGCTTGACTAACAGGGGAGGCAAGAATCGCGATTAGTAAGTTCTTGTTCGCAGGTTCATATCTCATTGCGGTAGACTTTACTTTGGTCGCAGCTGTAGTCAATGGTCAGTAGATAAAGGGCTAACACCTACTGACTGGGCGCACACTCACTGTGCTGCGACTGCTTTCCTCTCTCTTCTTCTTCCACCATTTGTTTCCGACCGATCGTGTCCGTATTTTATCGAACCTCGTCAAAAAAAAAAAAAACGCGTAAAACCATTGTAGTGATCCATGGCCAAACATTACATACTACACCACTTCGCTTAATATTGTTTTTTATATAACCACTTTTTAAAATAATACGTTATATGGGAAATGGTCGAAAAAGGGGTTCGTCTTTGGTTAAAAGCAGATTCTTGTACTAAACTTCATCAAGCAATCTCAGCAATTGCGACCTGTAGGTTCAACAAAACATAGTAATTCCGACGGACAGGCAGACAACCTAAGATCAGTTTGGAAAATGTTCACGTACCTATCGCTGAGTCTATCTCAGCTCCTTCTGACTGTTGCTTACGTTCGTAGCCCTTGCACTAAATTAGCGTAGGGTATAAAAAAGTCAGCCATTCTGAAAAGTTTTTAAAAATTAAGTGCAAGGCTAGTCTCGGTCGAGGATCTGTTGAATTGGAACTGATGTATCGATTCGGTTTCGTTCAACATCTAGAACGATTTGAGCTAGGTCCACTATAACTCGTGTAACGACCTAATTTTAAAAAGTCATTGTACGAAAAAAATTTGCGATGTTTGACGTTTTTCGGCGCAAATATGTAAAAAAATTTGTATTTTGTCATTCTATTGAATATGCAAAGATTGGATAGGACCCATTCTTTGAAATCCTCTCTCAATAACAAGAAAACAACCTTTAAGATGACTTACTTTTGGATACTCTATGACGGAAACGAATAGAAAATGCTACTTTGAACTATAAGTTGATTGTTTTAAATTTAAACCCTTTTTTTCTTTTTTTGTCTTATTTCTGTTACGTACTTTTTCTTACGGGGGGTTAGGTTTTAAAAAAAAGTTCTCGTTTTGGACATTTTTTTGATGAAAATAGATGAAGAAAAAACAATTTCTATACGGCATTTTGATGCCGACTTTCCCTGATCACGAGGTTTATACCTCTTTAAATATTGCATATTAGTGTTGTATGGAAATCATACGTTTGTGCGCTTTCGACTTTGACGTGATCACAGACGACCGTTATTATTTAATGCGCCGCAATAAATAGTTTCACTAGACTTTCAGCAAGTGATCCGGATATGATATTAAAAAATAAATATAAATAATAAATTGAGTACAAAAAATAAGGGGAATTTTTATTTAAAAAAAAAAACCTCTTAATAAAAGCCATTAAGCAAAGTCGGCTCTCTGCTTTTAAGGCTCTACCAGAATTTGAAACTAGTTAATCGAATGCCATGGAGATTATTTTAGAAATCATCAAACAATTGTGCGCGTTTTTTCAAAATTAAAAATCCTCTTAGCTATTGAACACCGTAGTGTACTCGGTATTGTAAGATAATCGCCCTTATTCAGAGACGAATTAACTTTGCTCTACTCCCCTGTTCGTTGAAAGACTTCTTGAGCATGATACTGTCTCATATAATTTCATTTGAGTTATTCATCGACAGAGAGGGGGATTAAAACAGTTGAAAAACTTAAGACAAGCTCGAAAAGTGCTTAGATCAGTTAGTAGTTGGTAATGAAGGATAATGAAGAATTACCGCTAATACCAGGCGTAGAGTTTTAATGTATTTGCCTGCAACCGATTAATGGATTTTTTTCTTGCCTTTACCAACTGTTTTCTTTCTTGTTTCACCCTACACCAATTGCGGCACAAAGATATATTAAATTTGTGCGGATGGATACAACACGCGGGAGAACTCACCTTTCGCTATGCCGATCGGTTAAGAATCTAATTTCTAATTCAATCTAAGCTTATTTGTCCGTCTGTCTGTCCATCTCATATTCTTCTCATTTACCTAGAACCTACATTTGTTACGTCAATGTGTTTTGAGTTAAGGCTGAACGTTATTCAGAAAGGGCTTGGGACGATTCACTTTTTCGACCACTTTCCATATAACGCCTTATATTGAAGAGTCGTTACACAAATAGCTGTACAGTGTGTGATATACAATGTTTTCACTTATTTTAGCGTAACTTTTCTTTTAAATTATTGGGTTGATGATTCACTTTTTTTACCACATCCCTTATGGCATTTCGAATTATTTTGATTAAGAATTACAAATGCCTTGATATCTGTCAAGTTTTTTAAGGTTCAAGCAAAGACTCTCGTGTACACATTGCACCTTTTTTTTGGTCAACTCAGCAAGTCATCTGCTGTTGATTTACAGTAGAAAAAGAAGCAGACGAAAGTGTTTTACTTTTCTTTTATTTATTTCGATTTTCAAATATATTTTCATTTTAAGTGAAACATTTTTAAAAATTATTTCGTTTGTCATTTTGTTTTCTTTCAATATTTTAGCTACGGCCAAAAACAAAAATATTAATTAAAAAGATAAACAACAGAAATGGAGTCAACAATGCTGCATGCTTCGCATTATCATCAGTTAACACGACGAACATTAAAAAAAACAAAAATTGTTCGCAACACAAGCAGAAACACGAAAAGAAAGCACTTGAACGGCAAAGCAATGTTAACAGTGGCGCTATTGCTTTTAATAAATCACCTAACACTAATACAAGCGGGTAAGTGCTTATATATTTACAATGATATGTGCTTGAGTGTGAAAAGCAAAAAGAATGCAATTGTGTCCTAAGTGTTTAATATGTGTCCTTCCCTCCAGTTACAATTTTAGCAAAAACTTTTCTATAACAGTCAGGATAAATATTTTTGATGATGATTAATTGCTTTTGCCGAAGATGTCCTTTTCAAATCTGTTGGTGAAAGCAAAACAAATCCATTTCTGTATACTAAAGTATTTAAGAGCATTTCCTGACGCACTACATGACAGCTTACATAGACAGGCTGAGAAAACATTGCAAAAAAAGCATACGAACATTTATAACAATATTGAACAATTGGCTTGAGTTGAGTTGAGTGCCTTCGACCAGGCAAGGCATTCCTTGCAAACTTGCGCACACTTTTCATTTTACTAAACTGCATTTGCATATTTTCTATGCCTTCGGGTATTGTCAGAAGAAACTCTTTTGTTTTTTTTTGTTTTTTTTTTTTTTTTTTTAGTTTTTCACGTTTTCCTTATTCTTTTTTATATTTTTTTTTTTGTTCTCTAGAAAGAGACGAAGTAAGTGTACAGTGGGGAAATAGATCTATGGCTGCTTATTGCAATATGCAATAAATGTATGTATGAGTCATCATGGTTTGCATTGCGACACACACAGGCTCACAACTGTATCATTTGCTATATGCTGCTTATTGATAAGAAGAACAGAAGCAGCTGTTAACTGTTGTTAATTGATGTGCTTTTAATTGAGGTCGCAATTTTTGCAATTTGTCTCTTCGGATTGACATCATTGACATATCCGACGTGTCTCATCGGCAACATCATCATACTTTGCCCCTCTTCATACAAGCAAACATAAACCAACGTGTATACGCATACATACTAATAAATATCACGTTTCCTTTATTTCCTCTGGCAATGTTAGCTGCAAACTTAATGATTGTTTTTTTTT